CATTAAGCAGTAAATGACAGGCAAATAAGAAAGATAAGCACATAAGGTTCGCCTCTCGGGCACCATATCAACAAATCCGCCCCTCGGGCAATATCTCAAAACAGTACCAGCCCCTCGGGCAATCACATAGAAAAGTATTAGCCCCTCGGGCAACCACATAGAATAATACCAGCCCCTCGGGCTATATCTCACATCACAATGGGTACCCGCGCTCACTGGGGTGTGCAGACTCCTGGAGGGGCCCCTTACGGCCCAAGCGCAATATCAAGCCATCTCGTGGCATCATAAACAGGCTCTCGGCCTCATATCAATATCAAGCCACCTCGTGGCGTACAATCTCAGGCCCTCGGCCTCATAATCAAATTAGTGTATCACCGAGGCGGCGTGCAGCCCGATCCCAAAAATATGTATCACCGCAGCCCGATCCCAAAGATATGTATCACCGCTGCGGGTGCAGCCCGATCCCAAAGATATGTATCACCGCTGCGGCGTGCAGACCCTCCCAAAACGATAATCCTCACAACACAGGCCCTCGGCCTTGCTCAGTTAAAAATCACATAAGCCTCTCGGGCAACAGTAAAACAGTGTTTCTCAGCCCAAAACGTCATTTAAATATCATTTGAGTATTAATACAGAGGGAACATGGCTAAGTTTTGAAAACAGTGGAAATAACATGACTGAGTTCAAGTATAAAGTCAAAACAGTGAGGAAATATCAACAACAATCCCCGAAGGGTTCAAATAATTGGCACGAAGCCCAAATATGGCATTCAGCCCAAATAATGATGATAGCAAAAAGGTTTCAGTCAATTACACGGAAAAATCATCAATCGGGATACACCAAGTCATAGCTCCCAATAGTGCACGACCCCACGCTCGTCATAAAGCGTGTGCCTCACCTCAATATAGCACTACGATGTGCAATCCGGGGTTTCAAACCCTCAAAACATCATTTACAATCATTACTCACCTCGAACCGTCTAAATCTCTAGCTCGTGAAGCCTTTGCCCCTCGAATCGGCCTCCGCGCGCATCGAATCTTTCCAAAATAACAACGAGGACGTCAAAATATGCCAAGGGAACAAAGCCCAAGCGAAAACAATCAATAAAGGGCACAAATTCCGAAATTACCGAAACCCGACCCCCGGGCCCACGTCTCGAAATTCAGAAATTTTTACACTAGTAGATTCCTCATCTCCCCACGAGTTCATACATACCAAGAACATCAAAATCCGTCCACAAATGACCCTTCAAATCCCAAATGTTTGGTCTCCAATTTCAAGCCCTAGCTCTCCAATTTTTAGGCTTAGATTTCATGATTTTCTAGGTGGAATTCACATAATAATCGAGTTCTAGCCAAGAATCTTACCTCCAAACGTTTCCCCCTTGATCCCCCTTCAATCTCCTTCAAAAATCTCCAAAAACGATCAGCTATGGAGGAAATAAGCCCCAAAATCACGGACAAGACGAGCTTAAAAACATCCTGCCCAGGCATATTTTCCTTCTTCACGAACGCGTTCAAACCCTCGCGTTCGCGAAACACAAACTTACTTTGACCAATTTTTCCTCTATGCGAACGCGACATGACCATCGCGAACGCGATGGTTCCTCAGCCTTACCCTTCACGATCGCACACCCTCTCTCGCGAACGCGAAGAACAAACACGACCTCAGACCAGCTGACCAAAAAGACCCTACGCGCACGCAACTTCCATCTCGCGAACGCGATGCACGATAATCCAGCCCTTCGCGAACGCGGAGCCTCGGTTGCGAACGCGAAGGCTAATCTTCCACTGACCTCCACTGACTCTTTGCGAATGCGAGGGTCCACTCGCGAACGCGAAGAGTAAAAACCTGCAACAGCTGAACCTGCAACTTCTGTAATTATTCCAACTTCAAAATGATCCGATTGACCACCCGAAACTCACCCGAGGCCCCCGGGACCTCAACCAAAGGCACCAACATATCCTAATACCTTATTCAAGCTTGTTCCAATCATCAAAACACTTCAAACAACATCAAATCAGCCAAAACACATCTGATTCAAGCCTAAGTTTCTAAAAATCTTCCAAATTCCACTTTTGATAAAAAACCCAACCAAACCACGTCCGAATGACCTGAAATTTTGCACACACATCCCAAATAACACAACGGAACTACTGTAACTTTCGGAATTTCATTCCAGTCTCTATATCCAAATCTCATCTATCAACCGGAAGTCGCCAAAATATCCACTTCGCCAAGTCAAGCCTAAAGCTACTCCAAACCTCCAAAACTCATTCCGATCACACTCCTAAGTCATAAATCACCTACCGAAGCTAACCGAATCATAAAATTCTAATCCGTGATCATATACAAACAAGTCAAATCTTGGTCAAACCTTTTAAATTTCTAGCTTCAAACTGAGAACTGCTCTTCCAAATTCATTCTGATTACCCTGAAAACCAAAACCAACAATTACATAAGTCTTAATACATCATACGGGGCAGGTTATGCCCGAGAATTGATGAGCCAGGTGCAAAAGCTCAAAATGATCGGTCGGGTCGTTACAACTATATAAACCCGTCCCCCTTCCCCTTTCTGGACAGAACTTCGAATAACTATTTTTCACCAAAAATTAAGGTTTCTATTCTGTATTTGCTTACTACTCTATTCTGTTTGGCTCTTTGCCGGATGAAAGCCAAGGCCACCGTATTTCTACTTTTCTCGACCTCTCTTGGGTGTGAGCACTGCCCTGGGTTCTTGAAACCCTTGGAACTTGACACATTCGAGACTCTGGATCCTTACTGTAGTTCTTTTTTTGTTTATTGAACAATCACTAGTTAGTTTCTAATCTTCGCAATGTTTATTATGTTCTAATTAGCATGTTCTCTAAATAGCATGATCTAATATGTTCTCCTGACTCTTTTCCTGTTTATTTCTGCCTATACTTGCTAGCTTAATAATGTCTTTGTACTTAACTTAGTCAATTTAGACAGAATAAAGCATGCTCAGTTTAGTGTTGTTCTGATTACATGGGCTAATAGATGTTTCTCTGCCTAATTATGAACTTCCAGCGGTTAATTGATGTCATTAGCTTGCCCCAACTTGTTTAAGACCTTTACTCTAAATGTTGTATGCCTTTGCGATGCAACATAGGCTTTTGGTGATGGACATTGGTATTATGATAAGGAAGAAGAAGAGGTCAGTACGAGGCTGCCCGAGGATTAGGTGGGGCGCCTTGACTGAGGATAAAGCTCAGGAGTTGGTAGGAAGGTTATCGGTAATGGGAGCTTGGAGAAGTAGTGGGGATGCAAACACTATGTGGTCGACGACGACAGAATGTGTAAGGAACGCGGCAAGAGAGGTGTTAGGGATATCTTCGGGATGCACCGGTAGCCACGAAGGAGACTGGTGGTGGAATGCAGTTGTCCAAGGTAATGTGGAAGCGAAGAAGGCGGCTTACCTGCGGTTATTTGGAGCACTGGCGAGGAGGAGAAGAGAGCGAACATTGAGAGATGTAAGGTTGCTAGGAGGGAGGCGAAGATGGCAGTTACGGATGCTAAGAAGGCAACGTTTGCTTGTCTGTATGAGGAACTAGGGAACAAAGGTGGGGAGAAGAAGCTATTCCGACTCGCTAAGGTGAGAGAGAGGACGGCTCGGTATCTAGACCAAGTCAGGTGCATAAAAGATGATGACGGAAAAATTTTGATGGGGGATGACCAGATTAAGTGGAGATGGCAGACCTACTTTCATAAACTTCTGAATGGAGAAGGGGATCATGATATTGTACTAGGTGATTTGCGAAATGCCGATAGACTACGTGAGATAAGTGATTGTATAGACATTGAGGTCGATGAGGTCATGGAGGCAACGCGTAAGATGAGGAGGGGCAGAGCTACCGGGCCAGACGAAATTTCGGTTGAACTTTGGAGGTGTGTGGGCAGAGCAGGCTTGGAATGGCTTACTTGGTTGTTTAATGTTATATTCAAGACTAATAGGATGCCTGAAGAGTGGAGGTGGAGTAAAATGGTTCCGTTGTATAAGAACAAAGGCGATATCCAGAGCTGTAACAACTATAGGGGTATCAAACTACTGAGTCATACCATAAAAGTCTGGGAAAGAGTGGTAGAAATGAGAGTGCGAAGGACGGTGTCTATTTCAGACAACCAGTTCGGCTTCATGCCAGGGCGATCTACCACAGAAGCTATCCACCTTATTAGGAGGATGGTGGAACAATACAGGGATAAGAAGAAGGATCTCTACATGGTGTTTATCGATCTAGAGAAAGCGTACGACAGGGTTCCTAGGGAGGTCTTATGGAGATGCTTAGAGGTTAAAGGGGTCCCGGGTGCCTACATTAGGGTGATTAAAGACGTATGATGGAGCTAAGACCCGGGTTAGGACAGTAGGAGGCGACTCCGAGCATTTTTCGGTTGTTACGGGGTTGCACCAAGGGTCTGCGTTCAGCCCTTTCCTATTTGCCCTGGTGATGGATGACATTACGCATAATATTCAAGGGGAGGTGCCATGGTGTATGCTATTTGCTGATGATATAGTCCTAATTGACGAGACAAGACGCGGCGTCAACGAGAGACTAGAGGTTTGGAGACAGGCCCTTGAGTCTAAAGGTTTCAGGTTGAGCAGGACGAAGACGGAATATCTCGAGTGCAAATTTGGGCCCGAGCCGACGGACGCGGGAGTGGAAGTGAGGCTTGACTCCCAAGTCATCCCTCAGAGGGGTAGTTTCATGTACCTTGGGTCAGTTATTCAGGGGACCGGGGAAATCGACGAGGATGTCACACACCGTATAGGGGTGGGGTGGATGAAGTGGAGGTTAGCAACGAGAGTCCTGTGTGACAAGAAAGTGCCACCGTTACTAAAAGGTATATTTTATAGAGCAGTGGTTAGAACGGCCATGTTGTATGGGACCGAGTGTTGGCCGGTTAAGAACTCACACATCCAGAAGATACGAGTTGCGGAGATGAGGATGTTGAGGTGGATGTGTGGGCATACAAGGATGGATAAGATTAGGAATGAAGTTATTCGAGAGAGGGTGGGCGTGGCGCCCACGGAGGACAAGATGCGGGAAGCAAGACTCAGATGGTTCGGGCACGTTCAGAGGAGGAGCACTGATGCACCGGTGAGAAGTTGTGAGCGACTGGCGGTGGTGGCCTCAAGGAGAGGTAGAGGGAGACCTAAGAAGTATTGGGGCGAGGTGATCAGGCAGGACATGACGCGACTTAGGATTACTGAGGACATGGCCCTTGACAGGGGATTGTGGAGGTCGAGCATTAAGGTTGTAGGTTAGGGGAAGTTGGGAATATTTCTACAGCGCGCTAGAGTGAGACTAGACAGTTAGGAGTTAGGCTTAGGATGCTACTGATCAGCTATTGATGCAGGGCTTTATATTATGGATATTAGTATACTTTCCTCTTTCTCGTATTTCCTATATTCCTTATATTGTTGTTATTTGTTATTTTATGTTATTTCAGGTTATGTTTTCTATTTTATGTTATTTTTTTGAGTCTATTACTAGTACTAATATATCGTCACTTGTTTCTGCCACTTGTTTCTTTCTTGAGCCGAGGGTCTCCTGGAAACAGCCTCTCTGCCCCTCGGGGTAGGGGTAAGGTCTGCGTACATATTACCCTCCCCAGACACCACCTGTGGGAATATACTAGGTTGTTGTTGTTGTTGTTGTTGTTGTTACTCTAAATGTTGTATGCTCATATGACTATTCTTGCTACTCTATGTGTCCTTGCCACGACCAATCTGTACCTTTAATAACTTGTGATCTCTTTAAAACTAATCTTCTTTGACTAATGCTCTCTATGATATCTGATCCTGTTTGTATTATACTGTTTAATCCTGAATTTGGTATAATCTGATCCTTTAAGTTCTAAATTGGTTGCATTACTTGGTTTTATTAGCCTAATGCCCTTGCTCGATAACTTTGCAATCCTAGATTTCTTGTCTCTTGTCATATGTTACCCTACCCAATATGTTAGTTCATGTTCATTATGTGATTATCTTATAAGTTTGCAAATGCTTTTCCAAACCTATTACTTTACTGGGTGTTTCCTATCATGAGTTTAATTCTGGGGCTGGCTGAAAGCCAAAGCCCTTCCTCCTAAGTCTCCTCTGTCAACATCCCTAGTGTGAGCACTGCCTTGGGTTCTTGAAGCCATTGGGAACTCGGACGCACTAGGGTCCAAGGTTCTTTGCCTATTTTCCTAATTGCTCAACTTTGCACCCTTTTTCACCTATAGGATAAACCAGTTGGTTCGTGTAAATGGTTGTTGATTAGCTCTGGCTACTGGATTTTGGCTATGAAGATTATTTTCTGGGCTGTTGTGAAACTATGTGGACCTGAGATTGAAGGCCTGGCCTGGCCGGGTATACTTTGGGCCTGCCTTAGGCCCACTATAGCTATTTTGTAATTCTGTAATTTATTTCACTCATTGGGTTTGTAATAATGTTGTAACAACAATTGGGGTGTTAGTAAAATCGGAAAACTGAGTTTATTTTAATATTTGCATGAAACGGGTAGAAATCGTGCCTATAGGTGTTTAATTTGCTCGAACATGTTCTGCTATGTGTGTGTTTGATAACCTGCCAATAGGTGTTTAATTCGTTTAACATATTCTGCTTCTACATGTTTGTTAGAATCATGCCTATAGGAAATAAAGTGACCAATGTTGAATTTGCATTACAGCATATCCATTAGACACTATGACCATAGGGTCATGTTAGCTTATGTTCTACAAATCTGCTTTGAAATCATGCCTATAGGGTTTTAATTGGTTAATGTGCTGTTGTTATAATTACTCACTTAGGAGACATGCCTATAGGAGCTGAAACCAGTTTCAATCGCTAATTGTAGAAATCCTGCCTATCGTATACTCCCACTCGCTTTTAAGTGTTAATATTGAATTTTAAACAATGTTTCGTTGCCACTATTGGAAAGCATGCCTATAGGATTAAACTGAGTAATTTTGAGTGTTTTCCATGGTTATCACTACTAACTACTGCCTAATCACCTGGATAGCATGTCTATAGGTTTAATCGCCTATAACCTGCAATCAGTAGGCAATTGTGTAGTCGCTCAGAAGTTGTATCTAAAATTGCACCTTACATATGAAACTGCCTGCATGTTTGAATTCCAAGGTCACATAGAAACCAAGTCTATTGGGCTTAATGACTTTAACTCGTCTCAATTCTGAAACTGTCAAACGCCTAATTTGTTTGCGTGCATTTGTTGTCTAAGTTTAGAGACTAACTTGAGCCCTTAATTGGTTTTACGTGAAGTCCAACTTGATTTGTATGTCTCCCAGTTTTCTCATTTTGAGCAACCTAAGTTAAGCCTAGAACCACCCAAAATAGAGGTCCAAACGCCTCCTAGACCATAAGCATGGGACGGGTAGTGCACACATAAGGTACAACTTAGAATCAATTAGTACGCCTTAGGTAACAACTTAAAGATAGTAATCGGGTAGCAGGAGATGAAAGTCTGTGCCCGCTTAATAATACGAGTAACACCCCATCTCGAGGGAGTTACGAAGTATTATTTATGTAGAGGGGGTGATCCTTTAGGCTAAAATTTTGAGGACCCCCCCATCTTGTCTTCAAATCAATTGCTTCTGTTTATTTAAAATCTATTAATAATGAATTTTTTGCTTTCTTTGTCTTTGTTTGTCTGACTAATTCATATAATTCGAGTTCGGCCTAGACCCATAGTTGTGGACCTCGAAGAGTGCCTAACACCTTCACTTCGAGGTAATTTGAGCCCTTACCCGATCATTGGTGACACAAACTGGTTAAACCAGAGTTATTTGAAAATAGGTGCCCTAACACACCTCAAACCCGTTAGGTCGACTCTCTTTTTTAACACCCCTTCTTAAAAGAGTTGTCACGTGTCGAAACCCGATTTCGCGAGAAAAAGGGGCGCGACAGAAGGTCTCCTGCAAATATTTCAAATGGTCCTCTGCTCGCAGGGACTTAACTAGCATATCGTCAATATAAACCTCCATTGATTTACCTATTTGCTCTTCGAATATTCGATTTACTAGGCATTGATAAGTAACACCGGCATTTTTTATCCCAAACGGCATTACATTATAACAATAGGTGCCATACTTAGTGATGAATGAAATATTTTCCCGATCCTCCGGGTTCATTTGAATTTGATTGTACCCGGAGTAAGCGTCGAGAAAACTAAGGATCTCGTGGCCGGCCGTGGCATCGATCATGCGCTCGATATTCGGTAGAGGAAAAGAGTCTTTGCGATATGCTTTGTTTAAATCTTTATAATCTACGCACATTCTAAGTTTGTTCCCCTTTTTAGGGACTACAACTACGTTTACTAACCATTCAGGATATTTTACTTCCCGAATGGATCTTATTTTGAGAAGTTTGGTTACCTCGTCCTTGATGAACTCGTGTTTTACCTTGGACTGGGACCTTCTCTTTTGTTTTACCGGTCTGAACTCCGAGTCCAGGCTCAATTGATGTGTTGTGATCTCTAGTGGGATTCCTGTCATATCTAAAAGGAATTGAACAGGTTTTTTCCTGAGCTCGGGGTATAACCCCGTGCCCAGGTATACCTTTCGATCGCGCAGATGATCGATTAGTATGATTTGTTCCAGCTCTTCGACCGTTGACTTTGTTACATCAGAGTCATCAGGGATTATGAAGGTTCGAGGTATCATGTAATCTTCATCCTCGAAAGTTTCCTTCTCCTCCGATGGGGTCGAGGCCGGTGGCTGTGGTTGCCATTTGGCTTCTTGCTTTCTCTTTGACTCTGATCCCTTTCTTGATGAAAGCGCCGATACCGGTACTACTTCGTCGATTGTAAACATTTCTTTGGCGGCGGGTTGTTCACCGTACACCGTTTTGATTCTTTCCGATGTTGGGAACTTCAGGACTTGAAGAAGCGTTGAGGGTACTACCCCCATATTATGAATCTAAGGTCTTCCGAGTAGCGCGTTGTATCTCATGTCACCTTCGATTACATGGAACTTTGTTTCTTGGATAGTTCCAACCACATTTACTAGATAAAGGATTTCCCCTTTGGTTTTTTCACTTGGCACGATCTGATCCTGGAGGCCAAGTTGCTCTACGACCCTCCTTCGAATAATATTTGCCGAGCTACCTGGATCAATCATGCTACACCCCATGTTTTTGTACGTCATAAGTCAATTAATGTAAGCTCAGAAATGGAATCATCTTTGAAAAGTTTACAAAGTTAGTTCATCATGTTAACGTGGAGGTTACAAATATTTAAGATCACTGATACCAAGTAGCAAGAGGGTTTGAAGGCTTAGAAGCTAAACAAATTGAAGAAAATAAGTTTCGTCGAAAGTCGACAAGTTGGAATGTTTTACCATGTACTTTTGGGGTGAAACTAGGGTGATTTACATTATAAGGAGATTATAATATGAGTTATTTTAGTCGTATGATAGTTGGTGTTATGTTTTGAAGTCAAGCGAGTTATGGGACAAAAGTTGGAAAAGGTGATCACAAGTTCCATTCATAAATGTGCTGAAAATTAGGTCAAATGTAACAGAGCTTTTCTCCCAATATACTTGGAATTAGGGGATGATCTAACTAACAAATTGAAGATCTATGAGTCTAATTTCTAAAGCATTAAACTGTTTGTTGATACGAAGTTGGAGTAGAGAGATACTCGTATTTTTGCGAGACTGCGCAGGCTGGTAGGTGACAAGTAGGTGCATCACCTACTTGCCAAAAGGAGAGGCCTCAACTAAGTCGGCCAAGAGGGTACTTTTAAGTGATAATTAACTCATTTATTTCACTCATATTTCAGACCATTAAAACCAGAGTGAACCCCTGCAACTCCTCCCCAAAAATCCCACACAAACCCTAGGTTATTCCGGATGTTACGATGTGATTCTAGTGCCGAAAACCCTGGACAGCTTGCTAGTTTCTATTTCTCCTTCATGTTGCTGCGTTGGGGGACTGATTTTTTATGGAGGAGGACTAGGTTTCGTTGTTCTACTCAGTCCAAGGTAAGTTTATGCTTCTCCTTCCATTATATATACTTAAACGAGTTGTAACTCGGCCGTAAAGACTAGACCTAGCGAGTTTCGAATGAGTGGTATACTGTTTGTTGTTGCATCATTGTCGGCTGGTTGTGAACTTATTTTTAAGTTGAATTGATGGTTGATTTATAGGATAAGAGGCTTAAATATGTACTGTTGGTTTTGTTGCTCAATTTGAAAGAAAGACAAGTCGAAACATATTTTAGTAAACCGAAAAATCAGTTTTGAGTTATTGAACTTGTGAGACTATTTTGTGGGCTGTTTCGTGTTGCTATTGGGTTGTCTCTTTTGCTACTGTTTTTGTGGAGTTGAGAGGAGGAAGGGTGTGGAGAAACACCACATAATGGCATGGTTGTTTGCTGGTCGTTCGTCGTAACATTTTCGGATCGGTTGATACTATTATGGTTGTCGTGTTGTGTATGAAGTGATAGGGGTATGTTGCGCTGTTTGGTGATTGTTTTGACTTGTGTGAAGTCATATATAGGGGAGGTGCTGTCCCTTTATCGTAAAATAGGTTTGGTCGATACATAATAGTTACGACGCTTAAACGATAACGATAGTGTCATTTCTCTTATTGTAGACTAAGGAGTCGTGAAATTTGCATAGCTTGAGGTTGGACAGTACATATACAAGGTATGTGAGGCTATCCCTTTCTTTCTTTTGCATGACTTTGATTGTACATAATGCAATGAACGAGCTTCCAAAGGTACTCTACTCTTAGAAGCTAGCAGCACTAACATTCACTACTAGAAAACAGGCCTATAGCAACGATTTTTTAGCAACGGTCTTATAACCGTTTCTATATACAATCTATTGCAACGGTTATAGGCATTCCCTAAGCCTCTAAGACCTACTGAGACACTTCTGAAAGCAAACCGTTACATTGGTACAATAACCGTTGCAATAGATGATACTTTGGCGACGGTTTTCATAACTGTTGCTATAAAATCATCTATCGCAACGGTCATGTGAAAAAAAAGATTGTGGGCTCGGTTGTTTGTTTCCCACCTAATTTTCCCGCTCCTAAGTTTGCTAAGCCCCGACCCATAACCTTTTCTTAGTAAATTTTAATTCTTTTATTTTTATCTCACTTTGTAGACATAACAAACCCTTGAGCCCTCAAAACTCTCACAAATATCGACATGCCCCTTTCTCCGGCGAAGGCTCTTCCACAGGCATAGAAATGCACAATCTGTTGTTTGTTTCTCCTTCCTCTTTTCTTCTGGTATTTTTCTGTAGATCTGTTATTCTTCATAAGGGATTATGCATTTCCATTTTTTTTCTTTGTATTATATCAATTTTTGATTTCTAGTTTGAAAAAATGAGGGTTTGAGTTCGTGGGTTTACTAGTTTGAAAAAACAAAAGTTAGTTTGTGGATTTTGAATTCGTATTAGAAACTTTGAGATTTGCTAGAAAAGAAACTTTCAAGTTGTGGTAACCGGAACTTTTATCTTTTTTCTGCTCCTTCTTTTTCTTTGTCATAGAAGTTAAAGCATATAAAATTTTCCTTGTTAATTCTTTCCTTTTTGTTATAATCATCTTAGAGAACAAGTCTAGTTTCAGCTTCGTGAATTTTGGAGGTCACCAACTTCTTAATCTGTAGATTTATAGATGACATTTAGGTGAGTTTGATCTTTCTGTTACTGCATTATTGGGTATCTCGAGGCCAGAAAAATAACATTTAGGTGGGGTTTGATATAGAAGATCTTGTAGAAGATTTTTAGGGCTTTTTGCTATATTATCACAGTTGATTTTAATTTTTAGTAATTTTGTAGAAGATTTTATTTATTTTTTGATGGAATTTTGTAGAAGATCTTATTTATTTTTGATGGTTTGGCTTTCTTTTTTTATCAATTTTGTTTTTGTTTTCTTGATTTTGGGCGTGTGAGATTTTTGCAGGCCTTGTAGGAAAGTGTGGGGTTGTATAGTTATTTTATAGTTTAATCTGATATTTAATGTAAGAGTTGGTATTTTTCTGCAATCGATCATTTGTGGTGTCTTTGCTGTTTGCGCACAGATTTGAAGAATTCTGTTACACTATTTAACAAATCTCACTATCTGTAACCAATGTTATAGCAAGAAAATAATTCAAACACAACAATCCGACATGAAAAAATATTCGACAGTCGTAGATGATGATTTTTTCATTGATGTGTTCGGAAGCTTCGAGTATGTTCTCCTGTATGTTTCTAGGTACATGTTTGTGAAAGGTATTTTGCTACTCAGATCTCTTCTCTCTCGAGAAAAAAATTTAGATATTTTATTCTTCTAAGTCTCTGTTTGTTTTCTGGCACTTGATCTTCCATTGTTCATTTTATTCCGTACATTTAGTAGTATACTTTTGCTTTGAGTTTTTTTGCTGATGTATATGTGCTTTCTGTTGTAGAATGAAACTCGTCGCTAAAGGTGTGGATTACGTATGTGAACTTGACATTCATTATCTTACATTTAATTTATTCCCTATCTAATATATGCTCTTGACTTATAAATGTATTTGGCTCGTGCTATGGGTTCAATATTGCACCATGGATAAAAGCTGAGTCTTATACTGATATGGAGATATATGTCTTTTTATTTTACATGCCTTCTCAGTTTCTTTGCTTATGAGCCTAATTGAATTTTGTAAAATTGTTATTTATTTGAAGTAGAAACAGAACTAATTTGGCCCATAGGTCTTCACCTCTTACTCTTAAGCTTGTATCCAGATTTTTAACTTGTATTTTTCTTATTTGTATATTATAGAATGTAACCAAATAGCCTATGACACATTCGTATAAATATAGACGAGCATAGATGCCCTTTCCTTCAATTTTTGGAATCTAATCTTATTCTTGATTGTGGTATGTATTTCCATTAACATTCTTTTCAAAAATACAAGTAATAATTGTGTGAGACTTGACTACAGAATTAGTGGTTACGTCAAAGAGAAACTACAACATAGCAGTGTAGCTTGTTCGAGACTTTGCACTACTAACAGAATGGGATGGGACCTCACTTGCAAGGTATATTTTTTTTCTTATTGTCAATTTCGCAGCTCGTTCTATGAACTGTTACCAATCACGATACGAGCTTTTGAGTCTATATGGAGTGGAAGGGACATGGAGAATTCATATAGCCAACCAAATAGTTTACAATTGAGCCGTTGTTGTTATTGTCTAAATGCTGGAATGATGATGCGATTTGCAATCTTTGTTTGTTTTATTGCTTTTGGCTTGTGTATTGTCACACATGAGTAGGGTCGCACATGAGAGGGCTCTTTGTTTAATTAGATTTTGGAAGTCAACCAACTTATTCTTGACAGAACTGTTTATTTTGAGAATTAGAATTTTATAATGCCATCCAAGAATTGACTCTATTAAGTTGATTCAGAGTTCATGTCTTCCTTAGAAATGTTTCCCTTATGTTTTTGCAGTTTTGGAGTTTATAAGAAAGTGTGAATTGGTTGGTTCCACTAATTTGCTTATAGTTTTTACAAATTAATGGAGTTGCTATGGAAGTTTGGTGGAATTCAGTTGGTTTTTGTTGAATAAGAGGGATTTGTAAGTTCTCTCTGGGAAAACTGTTTGGCAACAATTAGGTCTCCAAAGATGTTTTTCTTTTTTTTGCAGTAATTAATATTAGTGAAATAGAATAATATGTGGTTTTAAAATGTTGTTAGCAGTTTGTTTTCTAAGTAGGGTCTAACAATATGGTATCAATTACAGTAAATTAGTAACTCTAGTTTAACCAAACAATTTAAGGTTAGCACAGTAAAACAATTTAACCAAACCTTTGGCCAGTTGAAAGTTTCTTCTATGTGAGGCATACATTCTTCAAGGCCAACCAGCTGAAGCAACAAATTTTGAGTGGCAGTTTTGTGTTCCATACTACCTAGTTTCCAAAGCCATAGATCAATCATCATATTGTTGGAGCACATTTTAGCATACCCTACTTCATAGAGTAAGTTCCATATTAATTAGTTGGTTGAGTTCATGTGATGTAGAAGAGTTTGTTGATTGGTTAATATTTTTAATTCATGCTCTTACTTGATTGCTGGCTTCTTCTATGTTACAGAGTTATGTGTAGACAAAGAGTTTCATTTGATTGTTGCCGAAAAATTTAAGAATTTGGAGAGTTAAATTTTTTTCGAGTTATCAAATTACTTATTCAATTACTCTGTGATTCAATTATCTAAAAACTTTGTTTAATTATTTCTGATTGTCATTTTTAGGTGCAACGATTGTGGATGAAAGCAGTGACGAAGACCTTACTTGAGTGTTGTTGAGTGACGAAGACTTTACTTGAGTATTGTTAGACTTTCTATTATCATGTTCAAGGATATTTTAGTTTTGAACTTTTTGGATGCAAACTCATCTATTGACTTTTGAATTGTTGATCAAACAATGTATTCAATTTTGTTTTTATATATGGATAATGCTAGTTAGATGTTTTAATTTTATTTCAGGGTTTATATAAGTTATGGTGTATAAAATTGCATTGCGTAGGAAAATATTCCTCATTTTGCTTCCATAAATATTAGAAATTACAATTGTTAATTGTTGCAATAGAGAATATAACCGTTCCAATAGACGTAGCAAACGATAACAACAGCCTCTAATAATCGTTGCAATAGGGTACTGATAATTGTTCCAATATATCACAAAAACCGTTGCCATATATCATTAAAACTGTTGCAATAGGCTTAAAAGATCATTGGTATAATTATGCCGCAACCGTTTATAACAGTGCCAACAGAGCATAAAACCCTTCCCATAGATGGAGCAATGACAGCAGTTCCATAACCGTTACAATAGCCCTCTATTGAGACGGTTTTGAAACCGTTACATATAACCGTTCCAATTGACCTATTGTAACACTGAATCCTGGAACGCGTCCCAATCCGTCCCATTAGCCCTATAGGGACGGTTAGTGTACCTATTGTTACGGTTTTGGAAGGGTTCCCGTAGGTGTAATTTCTAGTAGTGGTACTTTAATTTTAAACTACAGAAGCTAGAAGTTGAGGAGTAGAGAGATCAGCTCGCCACGAAGAGTATTAAGTTACCTTATGGTAAGGTTTTGGCGCCATATTATAAAATACTGGATTAAATTCTTGGTGTCGTCAGTGCTCGAGACTTTGGTATCCTCGGCAACGTTCTGGTCCAGAAGCGATGTCCGCTGGTTTCAAGTTCACGATCTCATCACGGTGGTAAAATGAACACTGAGAAATCCCACGTTTCGTGTCTCTCATCCTCGTTTTCAATTCATAGGAAGTCACGTTGCAAAATAAGATAAACTAAAGAGAAGAAAGCATAAACAAGAAAGGAATTACGGCTAACCTTACCTTCGTCTGAAGACCTCAGTGTCTTGGATGGCTAGCAAGTCTGTCAAGATGGTATTTATAGAGGGGTTGCAGCAGCTTCTTTATTTTTGCAACAGGAATCCAATTACGAGTAGTTGTTTCCAAGTAGGGGTGGAAATCGGTCGGTTTGGTTCGGTTATGAATATTATCGGTTTTGCTTATCAGTTATCGGTTTACAAATATCATAACCCGATAACAAAACCTATAAGATATTGGTTATCGGTTATCGATCATTATCGTTCGGTTATCGATTTATCCGATAAGATAAAACAACTAAAACAGTTTCGCAATGTATAAAACAGTTTCGGTATAAAATTATTTTGCTAAATTAGTTTTATAAGATTTTAAGAACTGTTTTTCTAAAACTCTTTTCAGAACTGTTCTATTTCACAAGAATTTAAATTTACTGCAACATCCAATAAAATAAACACTAACCAAAGTTTCTATCTTTCATTCTTCAACCCAAAAAATATAAACAAAAATCCCAAACTAAGAAAAATCCAGAGCCAGAATGCTTTCAAACAAACTAAGAAAAAGATGAAGATTAAGCAACTAAAACTTTACACAAAGAATCAAGATGAAGCTGAAGAATGCGGCTGAGAAATGCGACTGAAGAGTGAAAAAGATGCGACTAAAGAATCTGATGGATCTGAGAAATGAAGTGAAGATGCAACTGAAGAGTGAAAGAAAGAAGCTGAGAAATACGGCTGATGCCGGCCTGAGTCTTGACGGGCTGACTGGTGACGGCGTGATGCGATTGACGCCGGCCTGTGTCTTGACGGGCTGACTGGTGAGGGCGTGAGGCGGAGAAACTGAGAGAGAATAGGGAAATCAAAGAGTGAACTATGAAGTATGAATTATGAAACCCTAGTATGTATATACTTAAGGGTAAACTAGTAAATTAGTTAATCCTTATTGGGTTATCGGTTTTATCCAATAACATAATTGCCAATCCGAGCCCGAACCGATAACCCAATAAATTTTTTTAACCCGTTACCGAATCGTTAACCCAATAACCCAATAAATAATTAACGGTTCGGGTTATCCGTTTTACCCAATATATGCCCACCCCTATTTCCAAGCCAAATTCCAACTGTGAAGAAGTACAGCTAAACAAAAGTTTGCTAGCAAGATTTTAGGGCATTCATATTCCACGTGGGTCCCTTGGATAATTTCAATACCAAGGATTGTATGCTGGACCAAAGAAAGTTAATGGATTAAATGAAATGGGCTCGTAACTAGATTGCTGGCAATACCATGTCCTTTGTACAAACTTGCACAAAGGATCAACTACAATTAAAGAATTACATTGGTCCGCAACCTAAAGGCCAAGTATTTTTACGACACGTGCAATTTGATCTATGTGAGAAATTGAGTCGACTGCTCTACGGGTACTTCAAGTCTTATCTTTACGGTTGAACAAGTCACGTCACGATAAACCTTAAAGTAGGGGGCATCTGTAGACATATTAAATTAATTGAGTTTAATCCATACGAAATTTGGATTGAATCTTAATTTTATTTGGGTTAAAAGATTAATTTAGACCTTACAAGTTAAATAAGTCCATTTTATTATTTTCAAGCCCACAGTCTATTTCATCTTAAGGCCCAGACTCATGCCATGTGTCAAGTGACATGGCATATCCAGTCAGCTCAAAGCCAACAAGATGATGCCACGTGTTAAATGATGTGTTAATCCCAGTCGAAAACAGTGACCAATCAAGAGTTGCCAAGTGTCTAAAATGACATGTCTTGACCAATCACAAGCAAGCTTATCACATAGCTTATGTGATAAGTTTGATGACTCATGATCCAATCAGAATCAAGCAAGAGAGTTCATATGTAGCTGGACTGTCCATCCTCTACCATTATAAATTGAGGGGTTACATAACTCTCTAAAGGACATTCAGAGTTGGAGAAGAACACTCCGCAATTGGTGAAGGCATCCACAAACAGAGAGATCAATCATCAAGTGCTTAGTTCTTCAACAAAGGAGTGATCAACGGGGTTCTTCCCGAAGATCAACCCATAACAGCAAAGTGCTGCTCGACGTTCTTGGCGATTAAATACATCACAAGGAGGTCTGCATCATCCTACATTTGAGAAAGACGCTTTTCAAGCCCTCGAATCACGGAGAATTTTAAAGAGGAGAATCAAGGGATACATATAATTGTACTCACAAATATTTATCAATAAAATCTCTTTTTTCTTTATATTATTTTTTGTTGTAGTTTATTTTCCATACGAAAATTTGTTGCGAACAAATTTTTGGCACGCCCAGTGGGACCAGTTCTGCCCTTCATCTCTTCCTCCTGCAAATCGAAACTACGAGCTTCAAAATTTTCTATTGTGATGATCGGGTACTTCAAGTCTCGTCTTCAAGTTTCGCCAAGGCTACACCCCGACAAACCTTGAAGTTGGGGGCATTTGTAGACATCGAAATCTTAATGGATCGAGTTAAATCCTAAATTCAAGATACTACAAGACCTCTTGAAATTCTAGGAGTCTGTCAGTGTTGCGTAGAGGCTACTCTACAAAAACCCTAGGTCACTCTTATAAAAAGGGTTACATAATCCTTAAAAAAATATCTCAAAAATGGAGATCATCTCGAAAATCCCATAAGCTCACGGGATATTCACAAAGAGATCAAGAAGTGGCCGGATATTTCTTGATAATCAAATACTTCAAGAAGATCCACAACATACTTCATGGATATCAAATAAATCCCCGCACCATCCTACGTTCGAGAAACACGCTGTTCTAGCCCTCGAATCACGAAGATAATCAAGAGAGAAGAATCAAGGGGATAAACAGAATTGTACCCACGTCATTTTATGAATAAAATTATGTTTCTTCATATTTATATTGTGGTTGCAATTTATTTTTGTATCTCAAATAATTTGTTGCAAACAATATTCTCTTTCACCGTTTCACTAATATATTACTCTATAAAATTTCAATTAGCTTTTTAAATTATGTGCTAAGTCAAACACCTCATATAAAATTAATTGAAGTGAATACTTAGAAAAAAGTCTTATACTTCAATTTTTATTAACAAAAATAATATTTTACTCCTGAGACATTTTAATAATTTTATTATGTATATGTATATAAACATATACATATACACGAAAATTCAAGTCAAATATAATGATCGCGCCTACAACATTACTTGTTAGTGCGCGAAAGAAGAAAGTATTGGAATATTGGTAACTACACAAAGAATGAATATATGAATCTGTCGCATGGAGCAGAGTTGACTAGCAACGTGCTAGTGACCTTCAGTAGGCTGCAAGTTTGTTGTGGTAATTGTAAAGTTAACGCATTGGCATGTTGGGGGACTGTACAAAGAGTGAAGATGAGCTTAATTGCATGGAATGGAGTAGGAAACGTAGCCAAGATTTCAATTTTATGAGTTTTAGATTTAAAACGATAACTTCAAGTACTTATAATATCAGTATTTTAAATTTAATATTTTTATATACATTTAATGAATTTTTAACACAAATATTAAGCAAAAACTATTAGGTTTAGTCGAACATATCTGCAATTCTACTTCCGTCCTAAATCGAGTTGATTGACAGTCAGAGGCGGATCCAAGATTTAAACTCTGTGGGTTCATCCTTTAAGATTTTTAGTATTGAACTCATTGTATTCTTAAAGTTATGGGTTCAAATCTACAATTTATTGCAATTTTAGCGAATTTTTTCATATAAATTTATGCTATGTGTCGAAAGTTATGGCTTCAATTGAACTTATTGCTATAGGATTGCATCCGCCCCTGTTGAAAGCGGGCTAAAGAACTTTCATTGTGCTTTAAGTTGACAACTTTGCATGTTAAAGTAAAGGTTCGTTTAGATCTTCGCGAGCTAAGGAACTTTTGCTTGCATTGTATGACGGAGCTAACAAGTGGTCATTATTTTCATAGTCATCTAGTACTCGAAATTTATTGGTTCAATTAATTCATATTTGCATCATGAAAAAGTTATTTTGCATGATTTTAGTGCTTTCTACATAAGTGACTTTGGTCTCATGGCTGAAACTTGATTTCATTAACTTTCGGACATTGATTTCATTA